TATTATATTGTATATATATGTATATATATATATATAACTTATATATATATACATATTATATATATATATATATATATATATATATGCGTATATGTATATGTATATGCCAGTATAAATGTATATATATTTTTATATATATGATGTGTATATTAATATGTATGTGTGTATGTGTATATTTATATGTATGTGTATATGTACATATATGTATGTATATGTATATGAATATATATATATATATATATATGTGTGTGTGTGTGTATTTATATATATATTCAATTCAATACAAGTTTTTTTAAATTGTGGCTCCCCTTCTGGTTCTTCCGGATCGGAATTGAACGTTGAGTTTAATAGTACCAAATCGAGCTTAATTTGAGTCCATTCGGATTTAAAAATTTTGTGTGGGGAGGACTCAATATCTCGACTGGCTATGGATGAATTTGGATACTACCCACGGAACATGCTTGTATATTTGATGCAATTCGTCTCCCTGTTTGATATCTTGAAGATTGAGATTGAGAGTATCTGATGTGTACTTCACGCGACAATTATTAGGAATAGGTATATAAGCATAACCTTCTAAATTAGACAGGTTTTCAGGGTGGTAGGCTTACCTATGATGTACAGTACCTTGCGAATATGATTATAATCATACTACAGCCTCCTAAATGTAATTAATTTAGGAGGCTATGCCGCTATGGATTTCATCAGCTGTAAATTTTTGTTGTTTGTTTCAGAACTTCATACATTCTAATGTCTTTTTTAGGAGGCCATGTTTGTTTACACAAGAAAAGTAAAAAATATAAAGGTTTCTGGGCTGGTTTAAGACACAGTGCTGGGGGATAAGACGATCGGAAACTAGCATGACGAGATGTCTTTTATTGCAGTTAGAAGTTCGATAGACGTCACGATCCGCAGACATCGGCGGGGAGCTAAAAGCTCTGAAAACAGGGGGGAATGTTAATTTATATTTTTGGGTTTTCGTATCCTTTAATATTTGTTTTGCGAAAGCGCGGTTTGTTTGGGTCCAGATTTACAATTTCGTTTTGGTTGTTGTTGGGAGGAAGGGGGGGGTTCGACGGTTCGTTTTCTTTTAAATACGTTAATTTTTAATTTTGGGATTTGTAAATACCCTTGTTTCTTTTGGGAAAGCGCGCGCCCCATGGTTTTTAAAAGTGCAACTTCAATTTTGGTTCACGTTTCGGTCCAGATTTCCAATTTTTGGGTTGTTGTTGTTGTCGGGGGGAGGGGGGTAAGGGAAGCCCCCAATAACCGAACAATATCTCTTCTACTGCTGGTATCAGCGCCACATCGTGTGTCTTGTATTTGGCCTTTCTATATTCATGTACAGGGTCTCAAATGGTCGCAAAAAGCTTCACTTTGTTCCTTATTTGGAAAAAATAAAGTTCTGAGGGACCTAATAGCTAAAGCTTTTAGTGATAAAATACAATGTTGTTCAATTTTCAGAAGGCTCTGTATGCAAAAAACTGAAAATGACCGGTGTCTTTTTTTGGAGGCCATGTATGAGTCAGACCATCGACTCCTAAATAGTAAATACAAGGGAGGCAGGGTAAGCACAGACTACGAATATATTTGTAAAGAAAAGAACCGCCATCAAGGCTTCGTCCAATTATAGGTATCTGGAAGCACATTCCAATGATTCCACCAAGCTTGTACTGCAATTTTAGGGGGGAGTTAGAAAGTAGTAATTCTGTTTTGTGTGCTGTTCATATCTTTCTAAAAAGGAACAAGACTGTGCATTCTCGAAAATCGAGTACTGCCACAGTGTCAGATTCAGAATCTATGTTCTCTAAAAATGTCGTTTTAAAAAAATGAAGAAGACTGGAATCACTGGATTCTCGAGAATCGAGTACTGCGACAACCTATGTTTAAAAAAAAGGTGAACAAAGGCTATGTGCTGTTTGTATTTCTCGACCTCAGCCTTGTTGTTGTATTCATAAAAATGTATATGTTGTCTAGCAATATTATGTATAAATACGGTCTACAACGTGTACACATCCTCACTCCTCCAACAGTTTACGCACCAACAACTTGCAGGTTACGATCAACATGGTATCGAAAGAAGAAGACCGCACAAGCGTGAACATGATAGATACACAACGCATAGCCACACCGCCAATGCAACCAGTGATGATGGTCCCTAAAGGACCGGCTAATGCTGGACCCATTGGTCTCATGGGCTTCGGTATGACTACTGTATTGCTGAACTTCTACAATGCTGGTGTCGCAGAATCAGGAACCGTTGGACTCATTGCGTGCTACGGTATCTTTCACGGTGGACTCGCTCAGCTTCTGGCTGGCATGTGGGAGGTATGCAAGTCTGTCAAAAGCGCTGGGCGTTTATAATACCCGTTGTACCCTCTTGTACATTGTTGCTCGTCGTAGTGTAAGAGCTTCCTAAATTCCCAAGTCTGATCTTCCTTCAACATAGACGTGGCTGTGTTCCCCGTAAACACTTTTTCTTCACTTTTGCGTTGAACACGAGTCCCGTTTGGTTGACTAGACACTTTTTATCCTGAATTGCAAATTTTTCCTTCGTTCGAATCCTGACAATTCCTCTCATTTTTACTATAGATTTCCGCCGGCAAGGTCTTCACCGGGACCGCTTTCACTACATACGGTGCATTCTGGATGGGACTTGGTCTGTTTGATGGGCTCATAGTAACAGGGAATCTAGCGCCAGGAGACATTAGTGAAGGCAAGTGTATCTGGCTGTGCATCTGGGGTGTCTTCACCTTTTTGATGTTCCTGGGAACATTCCGAGCCAATAGAACTGTACAGTTTGTATTCCTGTCGCTGTCTTTGTTATTCTTCCTGCTTGCGGGTGGCGTGTACAGTGAGGGAGTACACAAGACTGCAGGTGCGGTAGGTATTGCCTGTGGTGCCTCAGCCATGTACCTTGGCTGGGCTGAGATCATGAATGAGGTGTACCAGCGCGAAATGATCCCCATTTTCAAAATTAAATGGGAGTGAAGAACTAAAGACTAGATAAACAACAATCCAAATGGCTGGGCTGAGATCATGAATAAGGTGTACCAGCGCGAAATGATCGCCATTTTCAAGATTAAATGGGAGTGAAGAACTAAAGACTAGACAATCCAGATGGCTGGGCTGAGATCATGAATGAGGTGTACCAGCGCGAAATGATCGCCATTTTCAAGATTAAATGGGAGTGAAGAACTAAAGACTAGACAATCCAGATGGCTGGGCTGAGATCATGAATGAGGTGTACCAGCGCGAAATGATCCACATTTTCAAGATAAAATGCGAGTGACGAACTAAAGGATAAATATCAATCCAGAAACAAATAATCTCAGGACGGCCTGTGGCTGTCGGCGACTGTGTAAAACACGGCTGTATGCCCAAGGAGCGAGAAATAAGGAATTAAATAAATACCAATACCGATAACTTGTAAATAAGTTTTTGAGTTGTGCGTACATATGACATAAGATAATAAGTATGTTGGGAATTTTGTATCTGCTCTCCACCCCCTCTAGTAGAGGGCCACCGCCAGGCAGCTG